ATAAAAAATAAAAAATTCTCAATTTAAATCGTGAATCGTTTTCTTCTTTTTGTAGAAAAAAGTAATTTAGAAATGAATAAAATTTTAACATATTTTTATTCAAATGAAAATTAGAATTAAAAAATAAAAAATTTTACATCCAACTTTCAGTTTTATTCAAATGAACAAAAATAAATAAATAAAGTAAATAAAATAAAAATTAAAAATTCTCAATTTAAATCGTGAATCGTTTTCTTCTTTTTGTAGAAAAAAGTAATTTAGAAATGAATATTTTAACATATTTTCATGAAAATTAGAACTAAATTTTACATCTAACTGTCAGTTTTATTCAAACGAACAAAAATAAATAAAATAAATAAAATAAAAAATTCTTAATCTCGTGAATCGTTTTCCTCTTTTTTAGGGAAAAATTAATTTAGAAATGATTAATTTAACATATTTTCTTTTTTTTTAACTTTCAGTTTTACTCAAATGAACAAAAATAAATAAATAAAGTAAATAAAATTAAAATTAAAAATTCTTAATCTAAATCGTGAATGGATTTCTTCTTTTTTTAGAAATAATTAATTTAGAAATGATTAATTTAACATATTTTAATAAAAATTAGAATTAAATTTCACAATTAAACTTTCAGTTTTATTCAAATGAAAAATAAATAAATAAATAAAGTAAATAAAATAAAAATTCTTAATCTAAATGGTTTTCTTCTTTTTTTTTAGAAAAAATTCCATTCGTTCTAAATTAGTATCAATGCAATCATTTAGAACACTTAGGTTGTTTAACATATCAATCTAAAACTAATTTACCATTTATAAGAACATAAGACATCAGGTTACATCTCTTGAGAATATTTTATTCCAAAAAAAGAAAAAAAAGTGAAAGTGGAAGTGGAAAAAAAAAAAAGAAATTTCAAGCATCAACTTCAATTCTCACGAAATGCTTCCAAATAAAAATAAATAAATAAATAAAAAGAACGTCAAACAAAGAAAAATCCTGTTTGTTTTACCCATTTGAAACGGATCCGAATCGTTCAGAGAGGCAGCACGCGAGATCACAAAAGAATGCATCCCTTGGGACGGTCTTCCAAAAAGAACAAGAAGAAGAAATTGAATTTTCTTACCTGGAAAAAGAAAGAAGAATTTAATTAGTGATAGAGAAAGCAATCAAAACAAAAGCATAATACACTACATTGATTTTTCCCCCCTCCCACAACGAATCATATTCGTTGCCATGGTGACCTCGGAAAAAAGCAAACGATTCTTCGTTCTTTCTATAAAGTAAACAAAATTAAAAAAAAAAAAAAATTCTTTGTTCTAAAAAAAAATTTTTTTTTTTTATATTCTGTTCTTAAAAATAATAATAAAAAAAATCGTCTGTTTACTTTAGAATGATTTAAAGCGAGTGGGAGAACGTACACAATGAATGGACACTGACAAAGATGAGTGAAAGTTTGTGTTTCTTTGAACCGCAATTTAAACTTCTTTTTTTTTTTTTAAACAATGACTAACATTTTGGCGTTAACAGAAATGTGGTGCTTTAATTAAGTGAATAATTACCAGTTAAAAACTGTAACCGTTAGAATATTTTTTTTTTTCAATAACTGATTTATTTTTGTTTCAGCAAGTAAACAGCTAGTGGTTCTTTCTGTCTCAATAGAACCTCAATTGTTCTTTTTTTTTGTAACGAATTCCGGCGAAATTGAAGTCAATTGTTAAAGAAACGACGACAAAATTAGTACAGAGATTGTCTCTTAAAACTGTGATTAAAATAGCTTTTCATTGTGCAGCGTGCATTTTTTTAAGTAAAGCAAATGATAGAAAAAAAGAAATGCGAATTGTTACGTAAAAATGAATAGCCACCCTTTCAAGAAAATTTAACATCTGGATGATTGTCATGTTTATTCACAAAAACATTTTCGATTGTTTAACATTTTCTTTTAAATTTTAATCCTTTGAAAATGATATTCGTCTTTTAGTAAAAAGTGCATACTTTTTGACTGATAATAAAAGCTTTTCTTGTTCATTATCATTTTAAAGAAGTAGTAGTTTTTAGAATAGGGTGCATTTGATATGATATAAATATTATGGCAATGTCATTTGATTTATATCAAAATCTAACAATTTTAGAATGTACATTATCCGTCATAATGACATACAGTAGTTTCAGTGTTATTCAGGTAACATTACGACTTATCTATTATACTACAAGGTAATGTGAAGTAAATGCTTTTCTGGTCTATTTTTAAATATTACAACTTAATTCATTAAACCACAAATATAACCGAATTTGCTTGTTCTTCAAAGTAGTGATTAGCACCCTACACCACTATCAGATTCAAACCCTCGTCCTCTCTCTATCGATAACTATGTATACTATCCCTCCTTGACAGAAGTTAAAGGTAGCCTGATGGCAAATTAGCTAGCACTCTGGCCTTTGGTACCACAGGCTTCAGGTTCGAATCCTGGTGGTGGCATGGATGCTTGTGAGTGATTCGGAATCCACTTTAAACTGTAGGTCCCAGTCTAATTAGCCCTCATGTGCATAAAATGCCCGTGGAGCGACAAACGAAATGAAAATAAAATAAATTGAAGTTAAAGCATTGCAATTGTCACTCTCTTCTACAATGTGTTGCATTTATTTATGCGAATATCTAAGTAAATAGATTTTATTTAAATGATATATATCTTCCAATTGCATTTAATAAACAAGCATTCTGTGTAATACAATCAATAATTGTTTATATATAGGATTTTATACGTTTAGGTGATTGAGGTTGCAATAATGAATAAATGCACATAAAATTATCAATAATTTTATGTACAAATAAATTATTTCTGTAAACAATTTCAATCAAAATAGTTACAATAGCGCCAACAATTAGTTTTAAGCTTATTACTAGTTGCAAATGTGTGTTTAAATGAGTAGCAAGTCAAATTGAAGATTTAAAAGGGTTAAGTAAATATCCTTAAAACGGTAATGCCAAATCTCTCCAACGTCAATTATATTTAATACTGTAATTTTCTACAGACAGTACTAAATACTAATGCTTTAAGCGAGGGAAAGATGATCACAAGTACAGAATGATTAAAATTTTGTCTTTAGTTCGATCTTATTCATTTCCACTCAAAATGAAATTACGAAATTTGAAACATACTCAGATTGACCAAGAAGATTAATTTTTTTCCGAAATTCAATTTCACTATTTAATTAATCCTTATTTAGATTATTGATTTCACTCAAATAGATAACGTTTCACTCAGATTGTAATTCATAAATTCAAATCTCACTCAGATTGGTCAATAAGATTAAATCTAACTTAAAATGAATTCAAGAAAATTAAATATAACTTAAAAAGAATTCAAGAAGATTAATCCTCATTCATATTGAAGTCAATAGCTTAACGAGTAATTTTATTTCAACTTTAATCAAACCAACTTTAAAGAAAAAAAATTATGAGGATATGATAATGTAAGGTATATTTAAGTATTTTAATGAGATTCCTAAATCCAATTCCTAAATTAAATATTTTAATGAGATTCCAAAATCTGAATTATTACAGCAATAATAATTTTTTTTCTGAAACTGAATTCTAAGTAGTTAATTCTTAATGAAATTATTGACTTCACTCAAATGGATAATATTTAACTCCAATTGAAATTTAGAAATCGAACTCAGATGAAGAAGATTGAATTTAATTTAATTAGAATTCAAGATGATTAATTCTTATTCATATTGAAGTCAATAGCTTAACGAGTAATTTTATTTCAACTTTAATCAAACCAACTCTAAAAAAAAAAAAAAAAAAAAAAAACAATTATGAGTACATAAGGTGTATTTAAGCATTTTAATGAGATTCCTTTTATAAATTTTTGTTGATACAAAAAACAAACAGAATGTGTGGAGATCAATTACCAGCTACAATGGAGCACTTTATGAACTTCCAACAAGGAATCTAACATTGTGTCTACATGCCATTGAATCCGTACAAAATCTGAATTATTACAGCAAGGCAGCAGTTTTTATTCGATGGCCAAGGACCATACTATTCGAAAGCGGAATTCGATTGTGGAATCGGGGAAAGAGCAAACAGAGAGAGACCAGATTTTGGGCAAACAAAGGTGCGTAACAGAAGAAAAGGGAGCAAAGGAAAGTGCTCCTTTGAAAAGGAGCACGAAAGAAAACACGTAGTTACTACACGAAGGCAAAGACTTCTGCTTCCCCACACAAAAGGACCTAACGTCTTTCAATATCCGAAAAGTCAATGTTTGCGGACATCCTTTTCGCTTTAATGTTCTAGTAGTGACGAGGTCATGGGTGGAAGATAACTCCAGAGCGCAGCCGCAGTGTTTGCACATTACAAGTATGTTAAAGGGGGGCAATATATGGATTACAATCTGATATTAGTCACTATAAGGTTTATGATATTTTAATAAAGATTGAGGAAAATCGGTCGATTTTTGACGATCCAGTGAAAGGAGATTACATAAGACTTTATTGAAAGATTGAATTAGCATGAACTTCCACGCTTACCAGTTAAACTAGACACCAGGACAATGTGAAAGATTATTTAATAGCAGTGCTTGCACATTACAAATATGATAAAGGGGTAAAGAGAAATAATATGAGGAGAGATATTATATATATTTATATTTTAGTGAAGACTGAGAAAAATCAATCTGCTTTTTTTCTGTAAATTCCATGAAACGAGTTTACATAGACTTCATTAAAGGATTGAATTACTATGTACTACTACGCTTGGATGTTGAAGTAGATATCAGTCATTATATGAGATGTTTGTATTTATGGTATTTTAATAAAGATTGAGTTAAATAAATTTGTTTTTATTCTGTAAAAGGAGTTCACATAGATTTTATACCACTTCTCTTGCATGCTAAAGTAGGTACCAGGCAAATATGAAAGATTACTTTCGCAGTCGCAGTGTTTACACATAACAAGTATGACAAAAGGGGCCAATATATGGATTACAATCAGGTATAGCCAACGGCCATACCATGCTGAATATACCGGTTCTCGTTAGATCACCGAAGTCAGCATCATTGGGCGCGGTCAGTACTTGGGTGGGTGACCACCTGGGAACACCGCGTGCCGTTGGCGTTCACACATTTGGGACCTGAATGGCCGAGTGTCTAGCCCTCGATACCACAGATTTCGGGTTCGAATCCCGGTGGTGCCATGGGTGTTTGTAGTGGTTCGGAATCCACTTTAAGCCGTAGGTCCCGGTCTCCTATGACTGTAAGAGCGTTACGGAGCCAAAGTCAGACTTCTACCTACGGGGTGCTCCATCACAACAGAAGCTGCTTCCTTCCCCTTCAACCATGAGTACGTATGGGCTCGTGGGCTTGGCCAGCCAAGTGGGATAAGAAACAACAAACAACAACAAACACAATCAGGTATTAGTCACAAAGGGGGTATTGTGTTTATGATATTTTAATAAAGATTGAGGGAAATCAGTCGATTTTTGAAGAACCCAGTGAAAGGAGCTTACATGAGACTTTATTGAAAGATTGAATTAGCATGCACTTCCACGCTTACGAGTTAAACTAGACACCAGGACAATGTGAAAGATTATTTAATAGCAGTGCTTGCACATTACAAATATGATAAAGGGGTAAAGAGAGAAGATATTGTATTTATATTTTAATGTAGACTGAGGAAAATCAATCAATTTTTTGTGAATTCAATGAAACGAGTTTGCATAGACTTTATTGAAAGATTGAATTAGCATGCACTTCCACGCTTACGAGTTAAACTAGACACCAGGACAATGTGAAAGATTATTTAATAGCAGTGCTTGCACATTACAAATATGATAAAGGGGTAAAGAGAGAGGATATTGTATTTATATTTTAATGTAGACTGAGGAAAATCAATCAATTTTTTGTGAATTCAATGAAACGAGTTTGCATAGACTTTATTGAAAGATTGAATTAGCATGCACTTCCACGCTTACGAGTTAAACTAGACACCAGGACAATGTGAAAGATTATTTAATAGCAGTGCTTGCACATTACAAATATGATAAAGGGGTAAAGAGAGAGGATATTGCATTTATATTTTAATGTAGACTGAGGAAAATCAATCAATTTTTTTGTGAATTCAATGAAACGAATTTGCATAGACTTTATTGAAGGATTGAATTAGCATGGACTACTTTACTTGGATGTTGAAGTAGGTATGAGGTGTTGTGCATGATATTTTAATAAAGATTGTGCTAAATCAAATTTTTTTTTGACTCCGTGAAAGGAGTTTACGTAGACTTAATATTACTTCGCTTACATGTTAAAGTAGGTACCAAGTAGTAAATATGAAGGATTACTTTCGCAGCTATGCTGTTTGCACGTTACAATTTTGATAAAAGATCGGAGGGGGATTACATATGGTTTACAATTAGGTGTCAGTCACTATATGGGGGGGTATCTTATTTATGATGCTTATATGATACAAATATGATGAAGGGGTAAAGAGAGATAATAGGAGGAGGGACTATATTTTAATGAAGGCTGAGGAAAATCAATCAATTTTTTTGTGAATACCGTGAAACGAGTTTACATATAGACTGTATTGAAGGTTTACTTATTGATGGAGTATCATGTACTTTAGACATAGACTTTACACTACTTTGCTTACATATTAAAATAGGTATCATGTAAATATAAAAGATTTCTTTTGCAGCCGAGGTGTTTGCACATTACAATTTTGATAAAAGAGGGGGGAGGGAATTACATATGGATTACAAATTGGTATCAGTCGTTACATGGCGTATTGGTTTCATGATATTTTAATAAAGATTGAGTAAAATCAATCGATTTTTGAAGATCCAGTGAAAGGAGCTTACATAAAACTTTATTAAAGTATTGATTAATATAATAATTTGCTTACAAATTAAAGTAAGCACCAATCCTATGTGAAAGATTGCTTTAGTAGCAGTAGTGAGTGGTAATTAACTAATTATTGAGAAATATGTATTGTAATTAATAGAAAAATATTTAAATGTACGTGCCTTAAAAAAAAGCCCCATTATCCTTTCATTTAATTGCAAATAAATTTATTGGAAATTTTCAGTATGCTCAGGCATTGAAAAAGTACGGTTACAACTCATGAATAATTTATCAATCGAATTTTAACATAATCAATAATTCCTAAATATGTTTTGAATGAGAGAGGGCAAGGAATAGATATGTTTTGAATGAAAACGATCTTTTCGAATATTTATGATCATATTGATTTGTATTGCAAAAATGATGAAATCATGGTAAAGTTTCATGCTTTGCTATGCTTTTTCCATGATAAAAAATATTGCAAGTCAAATTATTTTAAAATTTAACACATTTAGAGGAGAAAAAAACAAGCAAGAGTAAGATATTATACCAAGTTATAGATTTTCATTCTTCTAAGTGAAATAACTTATAAAAATTTTAAAAAATCATTTGTCGGTTTTTTTTTATTCCAGTTAGCAAATGGTAAGAAAAATAAAAAGCAAAAAAATTTGAACTGGAGATGACTGACATGGATGATTTGATGGAGAAACTTGATTATACAAAGCTGCATAAAATTATTTTCCAATTAATTATTATAAATCTTAATATTATGTGAGCAGTTCTTGAAGAAATAATTATCAGCTATTTACTAATCGATATAAACGTGTGATATATTTTATCAACATCACATTTTTTTCATAAATAGGCAGATATATTATCAATCACTAAATCTTAAGGGTTTCTTCTAATCAGGGAATAATTCGAGCACCGATATGCGTGAAAAACTGACCTGCGGTTAAGTCAGACGATACAGTGATATAGGGAAGTCAAATAGAGTATGTAGATATTTTCCGTAGAGTAACAATTTCAATAAAAAAAAATTTAACTGTTAATTATATAATATCAAAGAATTAAAAGAAAAATTCGATAATTTAAATGAAAAATTAGATGAAAAAATTCTACAATATTTTATTATTATTATTTTTTTTACAAAACTAATTTTCGCTGTGTATATCTGACTAGCTCTTCTACAAAATAATTTATTCGTCCATTTCCGCTTTTCAAACGGATGTTTACCATTCCGCACAATCGCTGATTGAACTACTCTTTAATTAACGATACTAATACTAAAGCACTGAAAAAGATGTACTTTTCGGAAGCGAAACAAGTTTCACATTACACTGGTAATAAGTCAATTTTTTTAGAAAAAAAATTTAAAAAAAAATGTGCGAAATATACTTCCTTTCCAGGTGAGAGTCTGTAGGCCAATTGACCATTTCTCCTGAACGCCACAAGGAGTGCTCCAGCCAGTGCATAGGAGGAAGCATGGTTGGATAATTTAATTGTTTGTGATCGTAAGTTTCATAATTTTTAATTTTTCCATAATAATAAACATTTAGTAGATTCAACAGAGAAGTGATTTTTCGCATTAATATAAAATTAAAGAAATGATGTTCAACCACCCTCTTTAAGGCATGTGTCGTAAATGTGGCATGTGTCCTTTGATTTGACTTATGGTTGATTTGGTTTGGTATTTTGATTTGAGATTGACTTCTAACTTTAAATTGTTATTTAATTGTTGTTTAATTAAATCTTCACCAAAGATATAACCTTCCAAATATTTTTCATTATACAGAAACATTTTTGAAATTATCACATGATTTAAAGGTACAATTAGTTTATAAAATTTACTATTTTATGCAGTCAAAAGTTTCAAACAACCTGATTTAATATCACTGATTGAAGCAGATATCTAGCTTCCATAATAGGACTATTTAACAAAAGTTAAAAAAAAAAAAGAGAAAAGATTCAAATCTTTTATTTTTTAAAGCCTAACGGAACTTCGTTTCTTAAATATTTAATGATAATAAATCTTAAAAGATACAAAAGGAATAAATGCATTTCAAGTCCAATCTTTTATTTTACAGATTGTATCGAATCATTAAGGAAAAAATAAATAAATAAATAAAAATTGAAAGAATTATTTTTTTTTGTATCTTTGTGTTCTTTTCAAATTGATTTTGAAGAAAAGATCGGTTCGAACAAAATTCGTAAACGACTCTCATTAATTTTTAAGCGATTTGCTTTATTTTTTTTCTCTCTGTCTATCTCTGCTTTTGTTAGTATGCCTCTAAATAGTTAAAAAGAATCTACCGGCTATTTTCTTATTTATGTTTTTAGGAAGACGACTTAGTCTCTTCGACCTTTTTTTTCATTCTTATTCTCAGAAGAAGCAGGATTCCGTGTCGGAGAATTGTTTTTCTTTTCCTCCTTATTTAGCTCAGTTCAAAGAGAATTTTATCTTAATTTTTTTCTTCGAAGTAACGGTACTTGACTCTTCAAATTATCTTCAGAAATGGAGATATTTTCTTATAGTTCTTAAATGAATTATGTTAGTTCATTCATATTAGTTCACCTCATTTACGTCGTTGTTTTTTGTATTGAAAGATAGATGCAAAACTAAAAAGATTTTAGGATATTGAATCTTAAAATAAGGTCTTTTTATTTGTTTTTATGTGCAATACTGTTTGCTCGAATTGATATTCTATATATTTCAAAATATAGCATCGCTTTTACAATAACAATGCATTAAAATCAAAGCCAGTAGTGTATTAAAATTTTTTTGGTAAAAACTATACTTGGATGACTGGTTTCGTTTGTCGCTCTACGGTCATTTTTTTGCACACTTTAGGCTAATTACACCAGTTTATAGACCAGGACATACAGTTACAGTTTAACATTGATTCCGAACTACTAACAATTCGAACTTGAAGCCTGCAGTACGAAAGGCCAGAGCGCTAGACAAGTGGCCATCAGACCACCTGTACTCGGACTATGGAAAGCACATTTTTTCAGAGTTAAAGTTTACGTTTTATCATAGATAAGTTAGATCAGAATTTTAAAAGACACTTATGCGATTCATAAAAAGAGTGGGCTTGTATGGCCGTATGTCTAGCGCTCTGGAGCTAGGTGCCACAGGTGTCGTGTTTCGCGGAGGCGACATGGATGTTTGTACTGTTTCGGAATTCATTTTAAGCCGTAGGTCCCGGTCTCATATAACTGCAAGAGCGCCATGAAGTCAAGTCAGACTTCCATCTACGGGAGCTCCATAA